CCAGCGGCCCCAGCTACCTGCACAAGTGTTACTGCGGCGAGGTTCCCTGGAACGCCATGATGGACTGGCTGTCCGAGGACCGGGAGCTCCATACGCTGGTCATCACTGCCTTCAGGTACGTGCCGACGCTGCCCACTCAGTCAGTCAGCTGCCATTTTGAAATTTGACTAACTATGTTTCTGTGGGTTGTGAGATGAATGTCGTCCTTTCTCCCTGTATTCCATGATTATTTATACATACAATCATCTCATCTCGTTTCATCTGTCTTTTCTTATCTTGTCTTACCTTAGCTCATCTCTTTTAATCTCATCTTATTTAATCTTATCTTATCTCATCACATCTCATCCTATGGTTATCTCATCTCGCGTTACCCCCCCCCCCCCCCCACCCAAACTACCCAAGGGTCACGGCCACTCCCCCCTCCAGGTACGGCTTCAAGCTGATGTTGGACCAGATGTTGCTGGGCGAGATCTCGGACCACGAGGAGCTGGAGGAGACGCTGCGTGGCTTCGACAACCACTGGTACATCGGCCGAGAAACCGAGGCGGGCTGGGCCACCGCTCTGGCTCAGTGTCGGGAAAATCTCTTCTCTCTCGGCCACAACTTGGGACAGGCAAGTACTCTAACGAGAATAATGATGATAATAGGAACAATCAGGGTCAGTGCTAGGCTCGGGCCAAAGGTGCTGTGGTCCTCTTCTGTTCTCTCTTATTTACCGCTAATAATTACTTTGCCTACTTTGTACCATAAGAGACTATACATTTTTTGATTATAGTAGAGGGTTTTACGGCGCTCGCAACTGCATAAGGTCATATGAGCGCTAAGAGACTGTATATTTTCCAGTTTCACTAAAAATTTTCCAATACGTGTCCAATTCCAACAGTGGATTAATCCTCCCTTTACATCGCTGGCTGTTCTAGAAAACTACATTTGACTTTAGATAGTGCCAGGCAGAATGTGGTCCTTGGCTTAAAGTAAGGGAGATCACCTGAGATGGCAGGACAAGGCTTAAAGTAAGGGAGATCACCTGAGATGACAGGACAACAGTCTCAGGATTGACTCAGTTGGGTGTGTGCCAGGGGAGAAATAAGTATAAGGTGTGTGTCCCCCCCCCCCCCCCTGTTTGTGTGTCGGGTGGTTGCAGGGTGCTACTGGCTGACCACATCTCTTGTCTTTTGCTTTTCCTTGCGCACAACATTTTTGTGTATCTGTATATGTGTCACGACGCGGTGGAATTAGCTGCTCATCTATTTTTGGCCATGTGGAGTTAATCATATCCTCTGAAAGCTGATTTAGTCGCCTTGCTTCCAAAGAAATAAATATCCATTTATCTTGAATAGAATTCAAGATATTTGCGATTGAAGGAAGTGAGGTCGCCTGGTTTCAGTGGTGAAATTAGCGAGAAAACGGCCTGCAAAGTTCAAAGTTTGATAACTCCGATAGCTAAAGAATTTTTAAATACTGAAAAATGACATATTTTGTGCCTTTAATCAATGTTTCTCAATAAAATTCACATGGAAATGTGTTTTCATGTGGACTTCAAAGAGGTAATGCCAAAAAATAAAAATTCACAAACCAGTTTCTTCAATTTCAATATTTTGACGAGCGCCTGGTTTCACCACGCTGCCTCACAAATTGTCAAACAAATTTTCCATGAAGGTAGATGAAGTGGAGTTTATTTTTATTCACTAATTCGTTAGTTTGATTCATTAACTTTATCCTTGTTTCTCCCCCCCCCATCCTCTCCCTCAGGGCACGTACTCGAGCCGCTCGCTGTCCCTGCAGGACCTGATGGTTCACATGGGCCGCGTCAACGCCGAGGCCGTGCGGGGCCAGTGGGCCAACCTCAGCCTGGAGCTGCTGTACATGACCAACGACGACGAGGAGCGCTACTCCATCCAGGCCCAGCCCGCCATGTTGAGGAACCTCACCGTGCAGGCTGCCGACCCGCCCCTCGGGTACCCCATCTACTCCTCCCCGCCCATCTCTGTGCCTCTCTTGTGATCGCGTCGTCACCGCGAGCGATTCAGCCACGTCATACACACACGTGTACATGTGTACGCTCGGTCGCACGTTCTATATTTGACGTAACTTAGCCACGTCATACACACTTTGCAACCTCAGTGCTTTCTTGTTGTATCTCCATCTTTTTTTTTTAAACAGTGAAAATGTGACATCTTTCTGTGAAGCTCTCTCTTTGTTATGAACTGTTTTCACTTTTCAAAAATGGAGATAGGACAAGAAAGCACAGAGGTCGCGATATAAGTTTGGCTCGGTCACACGTTTAATATATTATTTTACCTAACTTCTCCTTGCACACAGATCTGTTGTTTTGTTTTTTTGTGTAGGTTTTTGAAATAACGCCCCCATCGACACAATTTAGATCATTTAGGAGGCGGGCTTCTGACCCTGCCTGTCAGGGCCAACCCAGGCAGAGGGGGATACCACATCCCAGGAGACAGACGGCCAAGATACTCGCTAAAAATTTTCTCCCCTCTCAGGAATCAAACTTGGGTCACCTGTGTGTGACAGCGAAGCATCTAACCACTGCGCCACAGACACCGGTCTCACAGGTGTGCTGTGTGCTCGGTCACACCTTCAATGTCCAGCTTAGCTCCTCTATACACAGGTGTGCTGTGTGCTCGGTCACACCTTCAATGTCCAGCTTAGCTCCTCTATACACAGGTGTGCTGTGTGCTCGGTCACACCTTCAATGTCCAGCTTAGC